TGTCTTGCTTATATTTAACTTATATTATGCAATTATGAGAAAACAGTTTTAATATTTAAATTAGTCAAATGCTTAATTATGAAAGTGCTGAAAGAAGAATGTTCAGCTTCATTGCACTTCAATGGCTTGCAAATTGGCAAGTAGTTGTAAATTAACTCCTGGATTTCCTTAGGTTAATCAAATGAGATTTAATGATGTCTTTGAAATCCGCAGATTAAAGGTATAAAAGTGTGCATCATAGCATGGGGTAGAATCATAGTACTAGTTGTTAATTTCTATTTTTTTCTCTTCTGTTCTCTATTCTTTTTCCATAGACCTCCAAAAAGAACATAGACCTCCAAAAAGAACAGAAGTGCAGTAATTATGGGAAGCATATCCTCAAGTGATGCTGAAGCCCTGATCTCCAAAAAGAAATCCCTGATAAGGTCTTGTTTTCTTTGACCTTTTATTGCAAAGGACTGTCGCATTACTCTGTACAAGACATGGGAACTGACATATCTCTTCATTAACTTACAAAATTTTCCATGCAGGAGATCATGCAATAAATCAATAAACACTTTTGTTAATAATCAGTATTTCATCATGCAAAAAACCAAGGAATTTTAAAGAATTAAGTTTTCTAGAGATCTCTTTGAAAGGTATCAACAGGTGATGTGATTCAAGTAAAGGGATTGGTAAATATCTTGTCTGCAGTTTGAAGACAACAATGTTTTAAGGAACAACCCTTGAAAGAGTGAAGTCATATATCTAATGAGTGTGTATTTTTTATTTTTTATCAAAATGAATGTGAAAGAGTGTGAGGAAAGAGGAAAACCCAGTGCAGATCTAAGGCATAAATTCAAACCTTTCTCTGAATGGTTTGACAATATGACAATATGCAGCTGACTCAGCCTCAAGTGTCTTGTAAGAAAGGCTTGGGAGACAATGACACGTGGACAGAATGTCTGCCACTTCCTCCCCTCCATGCTGCCTGCTTCATAAATCACTTTCTTATTCATCTGTTAACCAAGAGAGCAAACCACCCCAAGAAAAGGCAATTTTCCCTTTTTTTATTTGTGGAGAGAATTCTTTCCAGTTATCAACTGGCAATTTCTTGTGTTGTGGTACTTCCTAATAATACTTACAATTCAGGAAAATATTTCTATGAAAATTTAGTTCCACTTAACCACTATTATTATCCACCAAAAATAAAATAAAATAAAATAAAAGAAAAAAAATATTTTAAAATATTTAATTTTTTTTTTTAAAAAAATTAGAAAATCATTGTCTCAAGTCCAGAACTTCATGGCAACATACAAATGTCAATAAAATCTTGTTTTCTTTCTACCTTCAAACATCATAGGTGTTTGCTCTAATTTTCTGAAAAGACATTTCCTAATCTTGTCTCTACACTTCTACAGTACTTCATTCATGTATATAACTTAATTTTGTTACAAACAGGAAACAATAATTTTTCTGAGGGAGGAAAGAAAGGCCTTTGTGGCAAAAGAAAATAAACAGGTCTAACTCTTTGCAGATAGTAGCGGCTTTTCACTTAGAAAGAAAGAAAAAGGCAAAAACTATGAGTTAGAATGATGTGTGACTGCTCCCCTCTCAAAAATCTGAGCTAATATCTGCCAGTTTTCCATGGTGCATTAAAAGGCTCTGTAAAGCCAACTGAAGCTGTGGAGAGTCCAGGCAGGCAGAATACTTCCAGCACTCAGTTACAGTATAAATTTAGTGTTCCAGCAGTCCAGATTCCATTTCTATGTGGCTGGATACCATATTCCTCCCAGCATATGCTCTCTGGCCTAAATGTTCCACAGAGAAATAGGGAGAGTACAGACATCTCTGAAGAGTAAAACCTGAAATTTAGCCCACCCCTTTTATAAACTGTGAACAGGTTGCCTGTTCCACTCTCATTCATACAGTGTAGGCAAATTTTGGACCTTAACATGCTCTGGAGAAAACCCATGAAAGTTATTATTAAATAATGAGTTGATCTTCTGTGTAAAAATGTTACAAGATAATATATAGGCTGGGGGATGAACAGATGGAGAGCAGCCCTGGGGAGAAGGACCTGGGGGTGCTGGTGTTTGGGAGGCTGGACATGACCCAGCCATGGGCACTCACAGCCAGAGAGACAAACGTGTCCTGGGCTGCATCCAGAGCAGCGTGGGCAGCAGGGCCAGGGAGGGGATTCTGCCCCTCTGCTCTGCTCTGCTGTGACCCCACCTGCAGGGCTGCATCAGCTCTGGGGTCCCAGCACAGGAAGGACATGGAATTGCTGGAACAAGTCCAGAGGAGGCCACCAAGATAGACAGAAGGATAGAGAACATCTCCTCTAAGGAAAGGCTGAGAGAATTGGGACTATGCGGCCTGGGAAAGAGGTGGTTTAGGCATGACCTAATTTCTGCCTTCCATTACCTGTAGGGAACCCAGAAAGAAAACAGTGGGAGACATTTTAGAGGGACATGTAGTAACAGAATAAGGAGCAATAGATCAAAACTAAAAGAGAATAAGTTTAGATATTGGGAAAAATCCTTTACTATGGGAGTGATGAGACTCTGAAACAGGTTGCCCACAGAAGTTGTGGGTGCCTCACCCCATGAGATATTTAAGACAAGGCTGGATGGAAGTCTAAGAAGCCTAATTTAATGAAAGGTAGCTGTGGCCACAGGAAGGAGCTTGGAAACAGATGGTTTTTAAGGTTTCTTCCAACCTAAACTATTCTCTGATTCTCTGATTTGATCCCAGACTTGGATAGACCAGCTAAGCAGTAACACTCAGGGTCTCAATATTAAATACTTTGCATTATGTGATAATATACATTATATTAATTATATTACATTACATTACATTATATATTATTATATTATATGTGATAATATATAATAATATATATGTGATATGTGTGCATAAATTATGTGATTGCCTGTACCTGGAAGTTATCAGGACCTTAAGGCCTATTTCACACCCTCTTTGCACCAGTGGCACTCTTTGCACCAGTGGCAAAGCAATAGATATCCAGTCTCACTACTCCAGCAGTCCTGAGTATTTTCAGAAAAACAAGCTGGGGGCATAAAGCTTACAGTGATTACCCTCTGCTGGGATTTAACCATATGTACAAAATAAGTAAATAAAATGCTCCAGTTTAGATGTAGACATTCACAAAAGGAAAAAAAATCCCCTCACAATACCCTTCAACGCTCTTCTCATTGTTATTCATAGCCATGAGCAAGAGTTTGTTAAGCTCTCCCTAGGTAGTCTTTTATGTGCTTTGTAACTGCATGTCCTAGCTCAGGAGCACGATCACTCTACTGCTCAGTGGCCCTTCATGTATTGCAGTCCTGTGACTGCTCTGACAAGACACGCCTCTGATCAAAATTTGGCTGAACTGGAGCTTTCTCTGTAGCAGCATGAGATAAATTTAACAGTGACTAAAAGGGTATTTTCATTAAGCTTCAAACACAATGAAGAAATCATCTCCTGATGGACGTTTGGCCACCAAACTTTGGCAGTGGGTTGTTCTGGCATTCAGGGAAAGACATTTATCCCAAGACAACACATATTTCCTTCTCTCTCTCTCCCTCTCCTTTGCTTTATTGTGTTTAAATAGAGATGAATTGGGAAAACATTTGTCTTGTGTAGACTGAAGGAATATTAAGAAGCCTGTGCCTGTTGCTACCCTAGCACACAGCTGGACCTGCCAAACACCCTTTCCATGACCCCTGTGCTCCCTGGATAAGCAAGGTTAGTGTGTCACTGAATGCACTGCTGACACCAACAACTGCTGCTTCTCCTAAATAGCCCAAACCAGATGTGAACTAATAGACAGCATTTGGGATTCAGATTCAAAAAGCTTTTGAGCTTCTTTTCATGCTGAAGGCAGAAATTGAAGATATTAATTGCACTGCTTATAGCTTCAGCCTCTTCATCTGAATGAGATGTTTTGTGATTTCCATAAACCCCAGGAGTATGATGCTTGAAGCTGAAATATATTTCCTGACAGATTGACAAATAGGGCAGATTTTTTTTCTTATTATAGCTATTGGAATTGAAAACACTACCACATAGAGATGCCAAAAAAAGACTCCTTTTATACATAAGGGTATTGTTTCCAGAAATGCTTTGATAGATTTTTTTCCATTAAAATTCCTCCTTTTTGTCCTACACAGGGAAGTTGTTTTTTTTAACTGGTTATATATTGCATAAAACCCAGTGTAAGTCTTGAAACCACTGAGGATAGTTTGCATAATGAAAAAGGCTTCATTCTACCATTGTTCAATTCTGAGATAAATCAGAAGTAATTTTACTACAGTCGTGGTGTCTGATGGGTGCAAGAGAAATCAGAATTGCAGACAGGTATTTTATTCAAAGAAGCATTCTGGGAGATACTGACATTACTGTATTTTGGTTGTATACAAATGATTAATGGTAGAATCATGTGCCATCTGTTCATGCTAATTATATGAAATGTTTGTAATAAAAACTAAAACTCAGCGTGTTTGTTAAACTCCTACAATTCAGACCATTACTGTGGAAGATTTATTAAGGCCCGTGAATTTTATGCCAGAAATTAGAATCCTGCCATGAAAGAATCTGGAACAAGAAGGTACGCTGTTTGTTGGATCAAAGGAGTTTTAATGTGAGCAATATTCTTGGTTTTGTGGACCACTCTTAGTTTCGAGCTCTGAGTATGAGTGAAACTCAACCCAAAATTCAGATAAAAGAAAGCAGTGTTGAACTTTTCCAGAAAAGAAGCAAAAAACAAAAAGAGAATCCTGGTAAAATCTCTTGATGACTTACTGCTCATTATCAGTGTCTTTACTCCGAGCAGTGTATGCATGGGTACATCAGTGCATAGGTGTGTGACAGACTGAATCAGAACAGAAGATGAAAGCTGTCAGCTGTCCCTTACCCTTTCCCTGAAATGGCACCTGACAATGAATCTTTCTTCCCAGAGGTGCAGCCCTTTTCTCCTATTATTGCAACACAGAAGGACAGTCCCTGCTGTCCAGAAGGAGAGGAGGTTCCCAACACAGGCTACCAGGCAACAAAAACCTCTCCTAAATATAAGTGCTAATTTAGCAGGAGGAGGAGGACTGGGTTCAGGTAGCATAATACCTGAATTTTGAAAAGCACCCCATCATATTTAAATTAGATTGATGTCCCTTTCAGAGTAATTTCAAGGATACATAGGTGCTTAAGGACAGCCTTGGTGTTGTTAGCCTCTTCCCGAGGGGATAGGTAGAGGACTCTCCTCACAGTGAAACCTCATCTCAGAGTCTTGCTGCTGTTTCTTTTCTTGCAGCAATGGGCTGCATTAAATCCCAGCAAGAAAAAAAAGGGAATGGTTGGAAACTGAAAATACAGGGCTGGTATTTTGCTCAGCTTACACTCAGTAGGTGTAAGAGAATGCAAGTGTTACCGTCATATATGAGATATAATAGATGTATTCAAGTGTTTTGCTTTTGCACATTTCATTCCTTTACCGGAAAGAGGATAAAAGTCCTGTAACTTTTGTCAGCTAATGAAGAAAAGTACTTGGGAGCTGCACTAATTGAATGAACAGGAAGGGCCATACGCCAAAGATCAGAAGCTGGGGTTTTATTCACATATCTGTTATTGCCTTTTAGTCTTTTCTGTCTTCACAGTGGAGATGATAATGCTTAGCTGCCAGCAGAAAATATTTTGTTATCTACAGCTGAAAAGCACTACATAAGTCTAAATATTATTTCAGTATCTTCTTCCTACCCACTCAGTAAGTAAAATATGTGAGAGTTATGGAAAGTGTTGTGATAATTATCACATAGAGGCTGAGCTTTGAAGCTGAAAACATGTTATAGCTCATTATATATAATACCTCTCAGACACTATGCCAATGAGCTTGGTGTAAAAACTCAATAGAACAGATATTTAGCAGGCTAAAATGGCCACAGATAGAGCAACACAGTTGCAGTTTCCTTGAATGAACAACATGTGTTAATGTCGCAAGCTACTTGGGGTGAAAAGCTTCCCATCATACTTCAAGCTCTGATTACAACCCAGTAAAGGATGCTCCACTCTCCAGAGCTCTGGAAAATGGAATGCATTTCACATATGTGGGACTTACAGACAAAATGAGGTGTATAAGAATGCTGGGTCCTTTCACTGCTGAGTTACCAGGAGTTAAACATCAGCTCTGTTTTTTTTTTCAGGCTTTAAAACCAATTTCTAATTTTCTATTTTTTTTTTTTTAGATGCTTTATAATGCAATTAGAGAGCTCCTGGAGGCACTAATTGGATCATAAAGTGCCTTCTTCATGTTCCAGCTGAGGAGAGAGGAAAAAAGGATCACTTCACGTCCTCTTTGCACCTGCTAAGATGTTTGTGAAACACCTTACAATTAAATTATAAGCACCTAGAGGAGACTTTAAATTGCATACTAGAGAGCTAGAACCTTGAGTTAGACAGCAGAATTCACAAACCCAAAGCTTACAAAAGCCTCACATCCACCTTCTGGTACTTTTCTACCTCCTGGGGTGGAAAAAGACCTTTGTTTTTCCATTGCCCTGAGTTCTTAATATTCCCTCTCAAAACAATGGTCTAAGTATATCCTAAGCTAACTGCAATTTCTTGCTGAGAGTACAATATGTCTTTTCAATACTGTGGCCCAGGAGGGAACCTGACAGCAGGCATAGCATGGATGGTTCTTATAATCACTAACAGCTCCTGGGTAGTCATCTCTGAAATGAAACTGCCCAGCGGATGTGAGGAGGTGGAGACTGTGGAGCTTTTATCCTCTGTGGAGGCTGGTATGGGGAAATGAGACAATTATGGTGTTAAATCTGGAAATTGTATGAGAACAGTGCAGGTTGCAGTTACCCTGGAGCAGTGTGAGGGAGGGGACAACCAGGGACAGAAGCCATCAGAGTCTCATGAGGCTTCTGTGCCACTGATGTATTCAGCCTACTTTAGTGCAGGTACCAGCTCCTTTCTCACACTTCACAGTCTGTGCAGAGGTTTCATACCAGCAGCAGTAAGAGAATGGGACTTTGCCTCTGGCAAAGAGGTTCTTGACTCTCCCTGTTTCTCACTGATGTATTAACCAGTATCAAATCTGGATTTATATTTTATAGTCCTCTTTGGAAAAGAATATACAGACATCTGTAATCAGTGTACTACTTTAGGGTTTTGGTAGCAGGACTGTAATTCAGAATGTTGGGGGAAAAAATGTCTTTTTGGGCTCTAATTCAGTATACAAATATACAAAACTCTGGCCAATCAAGTAAGATAGTATATCCAACATCCCAAAGACCTGAAGAGAGATGTCTCACCTACCATTGAGTCAATCTGGTAGAGATACAGTAACTGCACCTGTTCCTGTATATAGAATTGAACTGGAACTCTTTGTTGCCTCAGACTATTCAGATATTTCCCCAAACACAGGGTTTCTAACTAGCATGTAGCTTTGACTTCAGTTCATAGAAATAATTAAGATACACATACATAAATACATTTATGAATTAGAGCCCTATTGAAATCAATGTTCTTTAGGCTCCTACATGCATGTGTGAACCCAGATCTAAGCGTCTCTCTTTCTGTTCAGACACCTTCTCAACTTCTCCTTGAAGATTGTCAACAAATTGTTGCTTCTCATGAGATTTTTGTTCCATGAAATTCTCTATGGAATGGCAATGCAGAGGCCCCAATATTAAGAGGTAGGAATGATGATTTGGTGGGCAGCCTATCTGGACCAGATTTTGAATGTGTGTAAAGTGGGTGAAAATCTCTATCTGAGTGCTAGAACTCTGTTTGTTTCATTCCTGCTCAATAACATATTTTATATTTTGTTGGTTTGGTGGCTTTTTGTAACTTTTCTTGGAACTCATGACATTTTGTGGTTGGTTATACTCTGTCAGTTTTCAATACACATTTTCCTCTCTTCTTATTAAGTAATATAAATATACTTTGCAGAGTTTGATTTTGCATATATAACTCTGTGAAATTATATTCACACATTGTTTAACCTGGATCATCCTATTTCCCACATCCTGTGTATTTTTTAAAGGTGGTTATTTAATTATGGTTTGTTCATGTTGATTGTTCTTCTAGTTATATCAATTTACAATATATCATTTATTCTCGTTCTCTATAGAATGTTTTAATAAGAAACTGTATGCCTTAATGACAACATATAGTATCACTTGTTCTGCTAAAAGGGGACTACATGCTCTGCCCATTCTGATATGAGAGTGAGTTGCTGCCTATTAATTAATTTTGGAACATCCAGGAATCCATTTAAATCATGGAGTAACAGTGGTGTAAACCTTGTATCATTGTTACATTGCTATTGGGCAAAAACCACACCACAAATCCTGATAAAATCAGCTACTGTTTGCAGGCTGCACAAACACAAAAATACAAGGATGGTGGCCCCTCCAAGATAGAGCTAGCTCAGAAAAGCAGCTAGAAAATTGCTCCTTTCCTGAATCAATAGCCAAAGGAAAAGCTGAAGACCACAAGCTGGTCTATTTCAGTCTTCATTATATGAAAACTTTTGGCTGCATCTAAAAATTTCAAAATAAAATATTGCTTCTTTCTTATTCTTTCTTATCTGGGGTTCTTACTAAAAGACCCAAAAATGTTGAAAGCACTTGGGTTGATCGTATTCTATCAATCACAATTTAAATCAGTGTAAGCTCTCTGGGGCAGAAACCATTTTATAGTTCTCTGCTGGCAGTACACTATGCAGTGGGAATTGAAAGATGAGGATCCTAAGAGCTACTACCAAAAACTGTCATAAGCAAGCCAGCATTACTTATTAAGAAGAGCCCTAAGTAGCAATTACCAAAGCAATCAGAAGGAAAAAGTGTTGTCTTTCAAGATTCTGATCCACTTTCATACCTTATTTCCATGCTATTGCTTACACAATAAAGGTTTTTACCTTTCACATTCAAGAGATTGCAAATGACCTGTGAAATAAAATAAAGGAAATTATAGAATGAGATACATGGCAAGAGCTGTTTAATTTTTCCCTGATGCTGTAATGATGAAACAATAGATACTGGGGAATTATAACCAGTGGGGTTTCAAACAACCCTGGAGCACTGCTGGGAGTAGTTTTTGCTTAAGGCTGTTTTAAAAATTTTGGAAAAACGTTTATGGGAGAAACATTTTAGTGAAAATATCTTTTGCCCACCCACACTCAGCTTGTCAGTCAACACATGTGAGGATGTTAAGGAAAGAAACACGAGTACATTTTCACTTTGTTTTTGCACCGGCTTTACTAAAAAAACAAACAAACAAACAAAAAACAACTAACCCAAGAGAAATGTATATCAAAAGTCAGACATGAAACCTTTGACATTTTATACAACTAACATTTGCTTGTAAGAAGAGAAAAGGAATAAGGGGAAAACTGAGCATGTTAGTGTCTCTAATTCTGTAAAATATCATGCCATGCGTCTGGGTACATGGGAAAAATGCACAAGCAGAAAGTACTCAAGTCTACACTAGCCTTTGATGCTGAGTCAGACATGAAGATGCATTTCAGCCCTAATATTCAGTGCTAATGACCATACTTACCCACTCATCAACATTTTTCACTGGAAATCATCAGCTATCTCACCTGTCATCAAACAGGTCTGTCTAAAACAGAAAAAAAATAGGCATAGGCTGCTTTTCACTGTTATAAAATAGAGAAGGCTGAAAGATGAGTGGGGGAGTTCAGGAGAATACATTTAATATGAGCCATGACTGTATCACAGCCTTTTACCTTACATCCTGCCCACCCTGTCCTTCATGTAATTCCTTTAACAAAACCAACAAAAATCAGCACAAAACAATCACTGCCTTCCCCTCTGGCTGTTATAAAAGTTATAATCAGCAATGGTTTATAGGGAAATGTTTTCTTTTTGCTTGGCAGTTTTTTTCATGAAGACTGAGAAGCATCTGAAGTTTGTCCTTTCCTGAAGTTGGAAGGAGTCTCTCTGGTGGATAAAAGGCATTCCTTGTCACTCTATAAATTGCAACTATTGTTTAGCTGAAGTCTATTACTTTGATTTTGGATAATAGAGGGCAGGCAAGCAACTGATGATTAAAGGAGCTAGACATGATTAGAGAAAAAAAAAATCAATAAATGTATAAACAAAAAGTGGTTTTCAGGCTTTAACCAGGTGATTTATTACACATTTTGTGCCTCCTTTTACATTAAAGTTGTTAATGTAATCCCACACAACTTGATTACACTTTGCATTTTCTTCTGGAGTGCTTTGTACAAGAGTAGAAGAAAAAAATACCTTGTATATCATATGAATTGAAACAATTTTGTTTAAGAAGAATAGAACTTGATCACAGAAGATGAACACAACATCACAAAACTGAATATCCACCAAATTATTTCTTGCCTGTTTACAGGGGAGAGGTTTGAAAGCAAAATATTATACTCCCTTGCAAAAATTGCAGAGAATGGTATTGAGTTAAAAAGGACCTGTAGGCTATAACCAGCTTTGACTGTATAAGGCTGAAGGGAAAGTATAATTTGCATTTCAGTAGCAGGAAAGCAAAGAACTAACATCTTTGTCATCAGACACAAGTGACCCATCTACCATGTGTGCACATATCTGTTAAGAGTCCTTACATTGTATTGTCATAGAAGTTAGCTTTGGGTACCTTCATGGCTTTGTGTAGCATAGAAATATAGACCACAGCAGCTCCAGCTTGTTAGATTTACACATATTGTCCCACCTGCTGAAAGAACAGCAACAATGGGTATTTAACTGGACCACTTAACTCTTTCATATATGTATCTACCTTCAGTCAAAAAAACAGAGCTGACATAAACACCCTGGCTTGTTCCAGGATCTTATTTTGTACCGTTCCTTTTGAAGCTCTGTTAAAGACTGAAAGCAGCCAGTGTTATTTCACTAATATGTAGACTCGTGTCAACATATTAATGAAAACAGTTTTTTCATCATCTTTTGTTGCACACTGTGGAGTAAAGCCCATTCCTAGGGGACAAGGAAATCCTCAGCTGTGTTCACAGCAGATTGTGCTTCTTCCTATATTTGTTATGCAACATTCAAAAGTGATGGTGGCTGTGAAAGTGCTCAGTGCTTTCCATTTTCAGTGTAAAGTCCTGTCTGCCTCAGGTTTGATGTGAAGGTCACAGCTCAGGCTTTATCCCTGTGCTGTGACTACATTCTCTTTCTCATGGAGCTTTCCTCACATGATATTGTTGAACAGGAATGGTTTATTATGCTGCCTGAAAAATTTATAATTAGGCACAAAGCTGTTCGTAGCTAAGATATGCCATGTTACTTATCTTCCATGTATTACTTCTTGACAGAATTTCTCCTACAGGTAGCTGATTCCAAAAAGTTTTGAATAATGTGAGAAATCTTCCTCACACATCTAACCCATATTCCTCTTGGTATTTTGTCTCTTTGCCAGGCCTAATTGCGTTATTTCTTCTTCCTTCATATAATATTCCTACTGATTCACCCTGCCTTCTTTCTCTATGTTTGGGGCCCAGAGCAGGAATTGCTTTTCTATTTAGCAGTGATACAACAGTGTTATAGTTAGATATGACTGATAATAGTTGCCTTTTGAATATCCCTGAGGCTGGACATAGAGCTGGAAGAAGAAAATGTTAGCAGTCCAGTTCTCTGGGATCTTCACATGCCCTGCATTGTCCACCATCTTCTGTGAAATTTTTCAGAGTGCCAAAAAGCTGGGCATTAACCATCCCTTCTACAAGTTCAATCAAAACCTAAGTCTTTTACTCAAAAAGGTAGAATACAATCCTTCAATTACAGATGATGATTTTGCAGTTCAGTGAAATATAAGAAAATTTTATATAAATTGTACAAAAAAAAATAAATTCTCTAGGGCTGGAACAGAAAATGGATCAGTACAAACATTCAAGCATTAGGCATGTAGGATGGATTCCTGAACGCACCACACTTGCCTGAACCCCAAAATTGCTAATATTTTAGACTGCTAATAGGGACACCAAAAAAGAGCAAAAAACAAAAGGTTGCTTCCCTACAGATTGAGATCACAGCTTGCCTTTCACTCAAGTATGAATAGGGATAGTGTTTTGAGAAAAAATTGATAGTCACGTAAAAGCAGAGACTTAAACTGACTTCCACTTGAAAGAAAAGTTTTATGCTAGAGGAAACTTTGCCAATTAAAAATTAATTAATGAATTAATAGGTCACATGAAACTTCTAGAAAACCAAATATAATAATGGGCTTTGAGTTCAGTTTAATTCATTCCATTTTCTTTTTCAGTTAGAAGCCATTAGGAAAGTAATTGCCAGAAGAATTTTTGCATGGGATCCCAGATTGCTTGGCTTAAACAGCGTCACTCTGCTGACCATAGCAGAGCTTCACCAGCATCAATCTGCACAACTGAATGAACATTCAAATGTGGGGCACACAAGTCTCTTGCAAAGTAGAGATTAGGCTCTGCCTTGCTTTGGGCAAACTTCATGGAAAGGGATTTGCCCAGTGTAAATTGATCTTCAAGTGGCAGAAGGCTATTGCAGTGTAGAGGGGCCTTGTGCACTGAATGTATTCTTAGATCAATTTCAGCGATATGTAATGTACCTAGTGATTTCTGTTCGTTCTCAAAATGTTTGGAAGTTAGATTACATGTTGGAATAATACCTGGAAAGATAGAAAAACACATGGTTACTTACATGTTTGACAGAGGGAACTAGATTTGTCTCAGCCAAGAAAAGAAGCAACTTTCTCAGTACTTTGGGAAGGATTTAATTTTATTAATGACTAAAGTGTGGGGCTTTTTTATTGACTAATATACATACATATGTAATGAAAAACATTGTCTCTAACAATGAATTTTAAAATTTATTTGAGTGGGAATGACAGTGCTTTTGTTTTTCTGACAATGTTCCTGACTATCAGCCTTGACAGAACTCTTAAAAACATACATACCTTCATGTATTGAATGTTCACAAAGCTTTAACATGGAGATGAAGGTATTGACTACCTTAGAGACCATGCATTATACATCCAAGAAAAGAAAGGCAACAATCAAACATTACTTTTGCTTACTAACGAAATCTTGGGATATCTGAATATATTTTCATCTGGGAAAACCAAACTTATATAGATTCCTACAGTTAGCACATGCAAATTTTCTGAAAAAGCATGTGGACAACTGCATAAACTTACATAGGGATGGACAGATGATTTGCTACCATATCTGAATTCTAACTTACAAGCAGGTGGTACATATGACTGCATGTGTTGTACTTGAAACTACTGAAGTCCCCAAAGGAGTGAAAACACTGTGGGACACAGGTGAAGAATGGCAGTATTATGTGTCTTTTGATAATGTTACAGTTCTAATGAAAATTCTCTTTTATGCTCATATCTCTCCTTGAATTCAAAGTGAAGCCACAGCCAAATGTGATCAACACTGTAAAACATACCAGTAGGCAGTTCATGCTTATTAGGATAAGAACCTAAGTAACCAAGATTAATAGGAGAAAGGCAGCACTTATTTCCAATCATTAGATGAACAAAACATAGGCCCTGAAGGATTAAATGATTTGCTGTATTGGGTTTGGTGCCAAGGTTTTGGTATCAGGACACCTAACAAAAGCTGCTTCTGTGAGAAGCTGCCAGAAATTTCCCCTTTTTCAGATGGAGACGGTGCCAGCCAGCTCCAAGATGGACCTGCTGCTGCTTGAGGCCAAGCTCATCAGGAATAGTGATAGTGCCTCAGGATAACATATTTAAGATGGGTAAAAAGTTACTTCACAGGACCAACTGCAGGCAGAGAAGAGAGGAACAACTCTGCAGAAACCAAGGTCAGTGAAGGAGGGCAAGGAGGTGCTTCAGGCACCAGAGCAGAGATTCCCCTGCCGTCTGTGGTGCAGATCATGGTGAAGCAGTTGTGACCCTACAGGCCATGGGGGTCCATGGTGGAGCATGTGGAACCCATCCTGGGGCAGGTGATTAAGCCCAAAGGAGGCAGTGACCCCATGAGGCACTCACATTGGAGCAGTTCACATGTGAGCATCTGACCACAGCCCCCATTTCTCATCTACCTGCACTGCTGCAGGAGAGTAAGTGGAGAACTGGGAAAAAAATTAAGCCTTGGAGTAAAAGAGAAGTAGGGGGAAGGTGTTTTTATTTCTCATTATCCTTCTCTGATTTGGTTGGTAATAAATTCAGGTAATTTACCCAAGCTGAGTATATTTTGTTTGTGGTGGTGAATGATCTCTCCCTGGCCCTTATCTCGAGCTGTGAGCCTTTCATTAGTTTTTTTCTCTCCTGTACAGCTGAGGGAAGGGGTGGAGTGGCATAAGTGGGCACCTGGCATCCAGCCAGGGTCAGCCCATCCTGTTTGCTTGTGACCACATTATATGGTACAAGGCCATGGAATTTCACCTAAACCACCTGAGCTGTCTTGTGCCTATTGCTTTAAATATTATATAACATATACATCAATGTACTCTGATAAAGTTCAAATTTAAAGCTATCTCTATCTCATACTGAAAAAAACAGGTATTTTGATTATAATTCAAATTATTTAAGGTCAAGAAAAAATTTAAAGGTACTTCTCCACCAGTATTGCACCTCTCAGACTGAAATATTTGCAAGAAAATAAAATCAAAGAAAAACATCTAAACCTTATGTAAGAAGCACTTGTCTAGATGTAATAGTACACTTAATACATTTGATATGGGGTTAAAGAAAAAACCTCACAACACAGTTTTACTCTCTGAGTGAACTGATAATTGCACATAAGGTCAACAACAATAGCTGATTTTTTCCATTTACTTATGATGAATCCCTGCTTATTAGAATACTGGATAATTATGAAATAGTTTTAGTTACTTAACTACCTGCACTCCCCTAAATATTTATGTAGGTGTTTCTCAGGACAAGAAGGAAACACTGAGGTGTTTACTATTACTTGCAATGCTATGGAGCAACAACATTTTTAGGTGAAATGTTCTGGGGACAAGTTGAATCTCAGGTCAGTGGAGATTTGTTCACAGTCTTTAATAATTTCAATTTTCTTATAGGTTGAAATACTAAAAAAAAAGTTAAAACCTGGGATATCTACCACAGTACTAATCCAGATCTTGGCAGCA